TCTTAGGCCATCCTCATATATTTTTTTGTTTGTTTCCCGTCGGAAAAATATATAAAAATATATATATAAAAAAATAAAAATAAATGTGTCTAATATAGAATTTAAAATCACCAAACAAAAACCTTTTGTAAACATGGGTTAAAGAAAATTTTAATGGATTTCTGTCTGAAAGTTGATGTAAACAAATTATGAACAAAATAATATCTTATCATTTTGAAACCAATTTTCTAGTTTTAATTGACATTTTTCGTGACAATTTTGTTTATTTACCTATAATTTTATTTGTTTTTTGTTTTGTTTTTATTTTGAAAAATAAGAGTCGGCCAGGCGACGGGAAACGGAGAAAATATATGAGGATGTCCTTACAAGGAAACAATTATCAGTTTGTTTATGACGCGTGACACGGAAAAAAATTCAAGGTCAGAAACATGTTACAACAGGAGAACTAGTATATTTACCGACTCAATGCCAATCTTAGCTAAACAGGAATAAAACACACAACTCTCCTCGCGACTACTTAAGAACTGTACTTACCCGCCTACTGTGTGAATCTATTGGTAGCATGAGCAAAATGACCAGAATCGTACATTTCTTCTTTATCGTTCAAGCTTTGTTTTTTCTCGCCTGTCACGGAGACAGCACTCTTTCCGTCACTAACTATGGCTCGCTTCAGATATCCATGGTCCGGCATGCTGAATTATACGCCACTAACAGAGTTGGATACGCATTTGAGGACGTACCACCAAGGTATAGAAATATTTTTATTTATTCCTTTGAATCAGTGGGCAATCTCAAAATATCTTAATAATTTATCATAATATATAATTATCTATAAAATACCTATATTTCTCCATTTCTTAAAGTTGATATTTTCACAAGTGAAAATAACACATTCGAGGTTTTTCTATATAGTGGAAGTAAGAAAAAATATACGACATAATTTGCTTTCAGATGTTATCATATATGATAAACACAATATTTCATGGTCGCTTGGAGATACGAATTTATCTTCCCGTTATGAAAAGCCATATCTCCACGCTAACGTGTAATATCCTCTCTATTTTTTAAATGCTTAGTATTGTGAGTATTTAGAATACTTGTAGATTCAGTACTTTTTTTAGGAGGGCCAAAGTATGTCAGTCGCTACGCTCATTCGTGAAAGATCTTTTCAACAATCGAAGATAAAATCCGTATCTCCGCGTGCCCATGTAATATCCTCTATTTAATAACAATGTGATAATAATGATGATTCTGAATAAAAAATAATAATTATTTTTCTAAATTGCAACAGCACTGGAATAATTTTTTTGCGATTGCAAATTATTCAAAATCAAACATATTATCTTTAATTAAAGTATTTGGTATTGTTTTGCAAGACTCTCAAGTTTTTGATGTCATTTACTGATCGATCGTTCAGAATGCCATGGTTTGTTGTGATATTTAGAACGCATTTTCAATTAAAATTTTTACCGTTCTCATGGTGACGATGTTGCGTCATGTATAACTTTATTTCTATAATTGATTCAATTAAAAGTAACTATCAATCAAAAAATAAAACAACAAATAAAACCCAAAGCAAAGCAAAAWTAAACAAAAAATATATGCTGTAATTGAATATTCGAATATTCTAATCCATTTAAAAGTTTGAATTAATATTATTTTTATTTTTGTCATCGTAGATATCATGGCATGACCCACGTAAGAGGCGTGAACGACAAGCATGGCTCGGTAAAGTTCCATGTGAACATCGCAGTCAAGGTTTACCTGGCCGTCGACAGTCGCTATCCATACATCCACGGCTCAAGTTATCGCAATACTGGGGATCAAATTATGCTCGGAGGCACTCATTCACGAACTCCATTCTACATCTACGAGAGCGTTGATCCATGTGGCCCGGGAACCGTCAATGTTAACTTTCCGAAGTCCCGTATGACGGCTATATTCTTGCGGAATTCTCAGAAGGTCAAACCAGAGGCCGATCTCTCACTGCGCATGCACAACTCCGGCTGGGAAATCAGTATGGTTAGAGAAGGTGAAAAATTCAGCTCGAATAGGAAGTGCTACGCAATGACCAACATACCCCCGAGGTTCTACGGTATGACGCATCTCCGAGGGCCCAATGACAAGCCAACAACGATTACCTTCACTGTTAATGTCCCTATTAAACTATACATTGCAATCGATTCAAGGTACCCAAGCCCTCTTGACGCCAACCTGTACAAAAANAATGAAATTAATATTCCTAAGACAACACCAAAAAAAGATTTCCTTTAATGAAAAATATTCAAACAAGCAATGTACTTAGTAGAATTTAATAATATTGTGAAAGAAGTAATTTATGTTTGACGAGCCGTTACTTTAAGAGTCGCATCCTTGGCTGTATTAAACTGAGATCGATAGTCTTTCATGTTCTTCGCTTTAAAATACTTCCAATCCTCTGTTTTTCCTCAGTATAAATCTGTTGACATGTCTTAGATAAGTCCTTGGTGATTGTAGAGCCGGTACTAGTATAATTTAGCTTTTGATAAGCTAATGTTTGATATATAGTTCACGATCAGCAGATAGATCATCACGATAAATTCGCCGTATCTCTCTAAATGCCCTTTTGAGAAACGCTCGAATTTTTTTAGTGTGGCTATGCCGCGAATCGTTTGTAAAAGAATCTAGCGTATTTGTAGAAGCTAGATGACCTAGATTCCAACATGTTCGATCTTAAAACTTTGCCGGCTATACACACGAGGCGACCTTTGAATCGTTGCTTAGAAACATAAATGACAGTAAGACAATAGATGTCAAAAATGAAAAGGTCCCGGATATAATTTGAAGCATACCACAGACGAACGACGGTAATTTAAGACATGATCTTCCTTTGGAAGCCCATGTAATTAGGACTTTAGAAACGTTCTAAAGTTTACAGGATTACAAATTTGATTTGGAAAATGATTATTTCCATAACAAAGGTATATTGAGGGGATTCCCGTTTTTCTCGACGAAATTATATACCAGSCGTTCTTTGTAAATATTGGTAGTCAGCGGCAAACCCAATCTCAACATGTTACCTTCTAATTTCCTCATATCATCATGCAAWGAACCAAGCTGGGTAAAACCAACCAGGCGATGCTCCATCACTCCATTTTTACTCTTTTTTATCGACATCTCTACATTTTCCTTAAAGAAAATCAGCAACATCCAACATTGATGAACAGGACATTTGATTCATGACTTTTAATTGTATGTATAATTATTAAGCTTTTCATATTAATTTAATTAGAAGTTTGTACCTGAATCTTCATCTCATCAATTACTAATCCTCCCCAGAAGTCACTTTCACTGAAGGATTGTTGCGTTGCTTTCTCAAGACACCACCTTATAGTCTCTGCATTCCAACCAGGCTGTTCTTCTCTTCTGTTCTTGCACAACCTTTGAATTGAATTAAATACTGTCCAGATGAACTGGCACTTTTTTAAATAAGCTGCATATAGAATATTTTTGCGCGTCATTGCACCGACTACAACAATGGTTTTATTCCATGCTAACAACCAAATCCGACCGTAAACAATTTTTGCATTTTCGCGCATCATTGCACCGACTACAACAATGGTNATATATCTCCGGGTATATCTGACCTTAAAATTATACTGCAGAATCACAAAGGCAGTTACAGCTGAAATTTTAAGAGCCACCACATATAAGCTTATCGCAAAAATCACATATATCTTGGCAAGGCTCGAAGGATCAAATCATTTCTTTATTCTGTATCAGTAAGGTTTTAATAAGGCCTCATTTACTAATGATCTCACAACATCATGCACAACAAAGGGTACGTGTCAACCCTGCATACAGGGTCTAGTTTACTAATGATTTCACAACATCATGCACAACAAAGGGTACGTGTCAACCCTGCATACAGGGTCTAGTTATATGTAAAAGTGCACAATCTACAATCAAACAAATTATCTCATTTTCGGGAGGGGGCGGGTGTGATAGCAAGTCCAGATTTACACAGAAAGTCGTAAAAAGTAAACGAAAGAAAAGTAAACGAAACGTAAAATTTATAGATAAAATAAAAAAATCAATCACCTCGCTACGAAATTTCCCAATTTGTACAAAACTATTAAGTTTGTTGATTTCACCGAGGTAAATGGATAGACACCATCGTTTTATCACAATTTGACAACAGTGTTTATTGCATCTTTGTTTTATCTTGTGTAAATCTGGACTTGCCATCACCCCTTTTCCCCCCCGAAAATGATGTGAATTTTGTCACGCTGTAAAATTAGCATAGAGCTGATATGTTAATAAACGCACACGAGCTTCTGGATAATGGAAGTCAATGTTAACTTTCCGAAGTCCCGTATGACGGCTACATTCTTGCGGAATTCTCAGAAGGTCAAACCAGAGGCCGATCTCTCACTGCGCATGCGCAACTCCGGCTGGGAAATCAGTATGGTTAGAGGTGAAAAATTCAGCTCGAATAGGAAGTGCTACGCAATGACCAACATACCCCCGAGGTTCTACGGTATGACGCATCTYCGAGGGCCCAATGACAAGCCAACAACGATTACCTTCACTGTTAATGTCCCTATTAAACTATACATTGCAATCGATTCAAGGTACCCAAGCCCTCTTGACGCCAACCTGTACAAAAAGACTGGAGAGAAGATTGTACACGGAGGATGCCATGCTCCGACGGACTTTCSTATCTGGGAGAGACTGGTGCACGCTCCTGCAGACTGGTCACAATTTGTCTGAATACGACTCGTATAATGGGGCTGTTTGTGACACCACTTATCTACGATAACACATTCAAATCAGGTGTTTATTCCTAATTATACGAAGGCTTTAAGTTAATTACAGCTGATAAATAAATAAAGAAATGAAAATATGTATTAATTAAATCAATAAACATGTTGATTAACCATGAGCTGAATTAATAGATTCATCTGCAAAAATAATTGAAAAATCATGTATCAAATTAACACTAAGGGAATGGAGAAATTAAAAAAAAGAAAACATAATGTATGCTCGCTTTTTTTGCATTCATTCTATATTCTACAGAAGTCAACAATCATACTATTGCAATGGATTTAGAAAATCTATTTACTCTCCACAATTTCTATTGTCTAATGAGGCTCCTTATACAACTTGGATAATTCGAGTTATCAAGCACAGAGAAGGTACCGTACTTATAAAGGATAGCAAATATGTGAAGTACACTGAAAAAAACAATATATATCTTCTTACGGGCACGAACAGGCAGTTAAACTTCAAATAAATGGGTAAAGCGGTATTAAAAGCCTAGATTCAATTAGTTTATTTAGCTTTGACCTGCATTGAGTGTCAAAATATCTAATCAAAAACTCAYCATCTTATTTCCAGCTATTTTATTGGGTGAAATGTAATGTTGCCACGTTTTGAATACCCCTTTTCTTCTCAATGCAAAATAGTTGTGCGGGGTTTTCCCAGAAGCGGTATTTTTGCATTTTTGCGCGCATTACACCGACTACAACAATGGTTTTATTCCATGCTAACAAGCAAATCCGACCGTAAACAATTTTAACATTAATATATGCTTCTGACAAATTAACAGCTCTCTAGAAAATCGTTAGCCGTTTTATAGTTTAGTAGTTTGTTTTCGCACGGATGAGCAAACGTGGATGCTAATTCGAAATTGGCGGGAATTTTCCCGCGTTTTTTACATAGCGATTAATTATAGTCACGTAACCGTGACCGTCCGCGCCAAAAAGGGTTTGTGCAGGATATATCATACACTCTGTACGGATTACCGTGGTATGTGATGTTGTCGAATCGCAATGAGCTATTAATAAACAACAAAAGTTATCATATGCATGGCTGAACAGCAAAACCAACTGTCTAAAAAAAAGCGGGAAACAATAACGGAGTAAAACAAGTCAGGTAACGATACACTCGATTGAATCACTAATCAGTTTTAATCATTGAAAAGTACAATTTCAGAGCGAGCGCAAATAAGAAACGGCTGAGTAACGTGCTCCACTATTCTGTTTACAGCCGCATTATGTCTCTGCAGAAGACCCAAAAACAGACTGAAAATGAGATAACCAGCATCAATGTATCATGCTGTGTTTTTTCAAYAGTTAYACACCTGGTCRTGAGTGTGTACATGATCGCRGCAGAAGATATTCTAGCTGGAACCCACGTCCCGACCTCCACCGTACTAATGGYCGATATMGGACCAGCGTCTTTGGTGCCTCTGATTTTTCCTTACTTTATTGACAGAGTGCCGYAYTTRGTTCGGATTGTSACTATTATMATATGTCATKTTACTACGTKCGTAGTTCTTGGATTGGTGACTAATGTTYACRTGAAACTATTGGCCGTCTCTCTTACAGCGTTGGCAACAGGAGTTGCAGACATTACTATTTTATCGTTGACTTCTTATTTTAAACCTTCTGCTCTCTCGTGGTACTCAACGGGAAGTGGCGCTGGATTTATAATTGGTGCTGTATATTATACAGGTAAGAAAGTATTATTTCTATACTGACCCCGTTTACATGAGATAGAGTGCACTTACGTGGTAGAGCTAACT